TTGTGACCACTGAGAGAGCGGCACAGGAGGGCAGTTCTAGACAGGTGGCCACCCCAGCACTCCCTTCTGCAGGAGCCATTCTCTGAGCTCGGTCCGGCCTCGCTCATCTGGATGGCACCCAAGCCCAGACCCAGGCAGCACCCAAACTCCCGGAGCTCTCTCCAACCTCCCGCCCTCCCTCTGCGCCCCTCACCCTCCACCTTGTACCGGAGAGGGCCAGCATGGACGGGAACTCCCAGCAGTTGTGGACTCCCAGGGAGTCGGTCGCGCAGCTGTACCAGAGGTTCTCGAAGACGGTGTTGGTGGTGATGACATTCCCATGCACAGTGGACACTCTCCAGTAGCCGTTTGGCAAAGTCACACCCAGCATCAGCAGCCCCGCGGCTGCCATGAAGAAGCCAAAGGTCTCCACAGCCACCGACATGGTGGCACGCAGGCCCTGAGGGGCACCTGCGGCCCCAGAGGGAGAAGGGCTGAGTCGCAGGGGACTTTGAGGGGCGTTGGCTAGGGAGAGGTGTTAGGGCAGGGTGGGAAGAGAGAGTGGGGAAGGGCAGGCCAGCGGCAGCCTCGGCCTCAGCTGTCTCCAGGTGTCTGCCTTCTTTCTCTTTCTGGGTTTCTGCTTCCCTGCAGGTCAGCAGTTAGAGGAATGAGCCAAGAGCCCGTGGCAGATGTTGATGAGATGTAAGGAATAAACGAAACGGGCCAAAAGTCCACTGCCTCTGGCTGCCCTGGGTTCCCCGCCCCACAGGGTGTGGGGGGGACTTACCGGGGAGTGACTAACGGATGCAGCCAAGGAGGGGCCCCCACGGGAGGCATTGGGAGCCGAGGGGAAGCGTGTCTCTGACTCAGCTTTCATCAGGGGCCAGAGAATGGAATAAGAGGGACAAGAAGGACAGAGACAGAACACAGACAGGCACGGCAGCCTTCAATAGGGAAGGAACAGGGAGCAGAGGCACTACCTCTTGGTGCTGGTGAGAACAGTTCAGGGAACTGAAAGACCTAAGGGTTGGGGCATTGAGTCTTCCAGGAAGATTAAGGTTGAAGAAGGGAACAGGGTCTGGGGGGGAAACCCATGGCTCTGGAGTCCAACCATCCTAGATTCAAACCAGATCCCTTCATTCACCAGTGACACAGAATAAAGCTGGAGCCCCGTGAGTTCGTTTCTGCTGCTGTGAACTAAAGCTCCTCCTCCTCATCTCATAGTTGTAATAAGAATTGTGACCAGATCAAAGCTCCCCACACGTATGAATTACTCCATACGTGACTGTCCTGGGCTGCTGCAGACCCAGGGGGAAGCCAGCAGGGGTTGCTTTCCCCCATTTGGTGGGTTGGTCTTGGACCCTCAGCAACAAGCTTGAACTTGCTGCCAAGCGTCCCGGAGGGGGTATGAATCTCAGGCTTAGGCGATGCCATGGCTAATCTAAGCAGCTCATTGTTATCAGAACTGTCACCAGCTCTGTTTATGATGATGGATTACAGACCTCTGGGTTCCCACCCTAAGCGGAGCACCTGTCCTGGTGTAGCCGGTCTCATTTCCTCTTCTAAGACCACAGCAGGACAGCCCTGGCTCTCTTCTGGCAAGTGTGCCTGGGCTCAGTCTCTAAGGGGCTGTTCCTACATCACACAACACATCGCCGAACCAAAGTGTAAACTCCCATTCCCCCCCTTCCCGTGTCAGGCTCCTCTGTGCTCCCCACAGGAGCCTCCTGCCCAATCGATCCCCCAGCTGGTTGGCTTGGCTGTGGAATGAGAGGTATGCAGTGAAGCAAGACAGGCCCAAGATGAGCCTGGCACAAGGTGGGTGTGGGGCAAAGCAGGCTGGGTGGGGACTGGGTCTCCACCTTCCACTCGGAGGCTACAACTGGGGTGTCCTGGGTTCCTAATTTCTTTTAAAACTCCTGCCAACTCCGTGCCAAATGCCTGTCTCCCCCCCCCCCCCACCTTCCTCCCTGCCCCCAAATCACCCCCTCTCCTAAGGAGGCTAGGGAGGAGGAAGGGGAGGAAGCAGGAAGACAAAGGGAGGGGAAGGGCGAGGTTTTGGAGGAAACTGAGTGGGGGGGCCCCCTGGTGTGGAAAACTCCACGTGCTAAAAGGCAGCTGAGTGGGTCAGAGGAGACAGGAGACATAAATCCAAACCTGTCCCACCTCCTGTCACTTTCCCTCAGGATCCTGGAGCGTGCGGAGGCCACGTGGCTTTTGGTAGGGTTGAGGGAGGAAGGGCGTGGGATCTGGGCAGCTCTGCAAACAAAGGAGAACCCCATACCAGCATGGAGGTAACGGAACACAGAGCAGGAAAGGAGCATGTGTTACCCCGACTTCTGGGCCCAAGGGAACCTGCCCCTTCCTCATCACAGACACGGATGTTCGCAAGTCAAAGCCCAATTTTATTTACACTCATCCTAAAGCACACGATCTGGAGCTAGAGGACAGATCTCAGGGAGAGGAGGCTGGGGCCACAGAGGACAGTGACGGGTGCAGAAGGAAGGGACACGGCGAGAATGGACGGGCCCCTCTCTGCGCGTTCTTCAGGGGCTCCCATGTGCCCCTGGGAAGGCAGAGGGGCAGTCTCATTCAGGATTTGGACTTGGATACAGCAAATCCGATGAGTCCAGCCAGGCCTGCCACACCCAGGGCCATGCCTCCAACAATGGCCATGCCCACCAGTCCATCTGGGGAGAAGAAAAAGGAAATTGTCAGGAGTTGAGCCCCAGCCCACTAGGGCCCTGGCTACTATCTTCTTCCTGCCTGCTGCTCTTCACAGTTGTGCCTCTCCACCTGGAAGCTTGGGGTGAGGGACTCCAAGGGTTGAACAAAGAAGGCTTCTGAGGAGGAATTGTTGGAAGGGGGAGTCATTTAAAGAGAGATCAGCCCTAATCAGTTTGGCTCAGTGGATAGAGCGTCGGCCTTCGGACTGAAAGGCCCAGGTTTGATTCCGGTCAAGGGCATGTACCTTGGTTTCGGGCACATTACCAGTAGGGTGTGAGCAGGAGGCAGCTGATCCATGTTTCTCTCTCATCGATGTTTCTAATTCTCTAACCATCTCCCTTCCTCTCTGTAAAAAATCAGTAAAATATATTAATAAATTAAAAAAAAAAAAAAAAGATCACAGGGCCCAGGCATGGGGTGGGGAGAGATAAAGAGGACTGCGCTAACAGTTAAGGACCTGGGGATGATGGGGGCCAGGGAGAGAGGAGTGGGGGGTGGAGAAATACAGAGGGGGAGGCGCTCACCTTTCTTCATGGCCTTGTCGATGAGCCGCTCCAGTTCTTTGGCCTGGTTGTTCTGGGGTTCTGTCTGCAGCAGCCCTCGCACATACTTTAGGGCCTTTTCATATTCCTACACTCGGAAAACACACATCCCCCTCAGTGTTTCATCATTCCTGCCCATCACAGGGGCCTTCCTTTCACTTGCCCTGGGGGCTCCTCCCTCTACCTCCACCCGGTTCCCTCACAACAGCCCCACCCAATGGAGTAGAGTCCACAAACAACCCCAACTGTGTGGGGATGATAAGCTAGGGGAGATAACAATCCAAGGCCCGGGGCTGCACCCCAATCCTGACGTCAACTTTTCCCCACACCCTCGGCACCCTGAGCCTGTCTCTCACCTTCCCTCAGCATCCTGACCTGCTGTCTGCCACCTGGCACCTCTGTACACAGTACGACCCCTGCCTACTGCCCTCTTTAGGGTCTACCTTGGAGAAAAAGGAGAGGGTGCTATGGCCCATCCAAGTAGGATGGAGTGGGAAGGCTCTCTGCCTTACCTTGAGCCGGTAGTTCCCCACAGCCAGGTAGAAGACATAATCCCGCTGCTCCTCTTTGCTCCCTTTGAGCAACAGCTCTGGGGAGGAGGAAAGAGGAAAGGATGAAAACCACTTCTCTTTTCCTAGTACTTGTGTCTGAGATGCTTTCTACTCTCTGAATTCCTATATAATCCTGGGAAAAGTCCTGAGCTTCTGTTTCAACTCAAGTCACATTTGGTTTTTAGTCAGACCTATGGACAGCGTGAGCCCAGGCTGCCCAAACACCCTAGTGATCCACGCTCTGGTCCCAACACAGTCAATCCTGGTTCATCCAAGGAAACTGAAAGGAAATCAAGGCACTGGAAAAGCCAAGAGGCATTTCTACTCAGTCCTGACATCCGTTGTGTTTCAACTACAGTTTCTAATTGCCCAAACAAGGGTTAAAAATAAGTGTGTACTCCCCAACCTCTTTTTAAAAATCAGCTGAAAACTCACCTTCAATTAGCCTTTTCCGAAGACCACTACCTGACTCTTTAATTCAGTGACTTCCTAGAGGCTTATGTGTTCCACTGTATTCTTAAGCACTAGAATTTGTTGCTAAGTAGTTTTGTGGGTGTTGATAAATCTTCCCATGTGTCTGTACTATCTCCTCAACTAGACTGGCAACCCTTAGAGAACACTTCTTCTACATCTGTGTTCTGTTGTAGAGGAAACCTTAAAATAATCTGAATTGGCAAATCAGACAAATGTAAGGTGAGATAATTTGCACTAAGAATTTTAATAATTTACAATGGGCATTCTTTGCTAGTACACTGTTTTATTTACAACTAGAGGCCTGTTGCATTAAATTTGTGCGGGGGAGAGGGGTATCCCTCAGCCCAGCCTACACCCTCTCCAATCTGGGATCCCTTGGGGCACGTCCAAATGCCAGGATTGGGCCTAAATCGACTGTTGGACATCCCCATCACAATCCAGGACTACTGGCTCCTAACTATTCACCTGCCTGCCTGCCTGATCGCCCTTAACCACTCTGCCTACCTGACTGATGCCCCTAAACTCCCCCTGCCTTCCTGATAGCCTCTAACCACCTCTGCTTGCAGGCCTGGTGGCCCTAACTGCCTTCCCCTGTAGGCCTGGTCACCCACAACTGCCCTCCCCTGCAGGCCCTAGTCACCCCCAGCTGCCCTCCCCTGCAGGACATCCTGTGGTAACCATCTTCTGGCGGCCATCTGTGACAAAGTTGTGCAACACCATCTAGTCTTTTATTATACAGGACTACTTGACCAAGACAGAGTGAGTTCAAAGAAATGTAAAGGTCAAATATTGTGGCCTCTGACAAATGGTGACCCATCCCAAAACAATGGGAAGTAGGAATCCAATAAAAAATGCATCATTTTGGGACTGTCTTCTGCACCTCTTCCATGCCACCCTCACAAAACGTTTCAACAGCTGCTGCTGAATAAGGGACATGGGGGGGGGGGGGCAAAGAGCACAGGACTGAGACACAGGAGACTCTAGTCTAGGGGTGTCGAACTCAATCAGAGAAGGGGCCAAAATCTAAAATCCAGCCTAAATCGCGGGCCGAATGGTTTACTGAACAGTCATAAACTGTCATTGTGATGGAAACGCAGGGGAGTGCAGTGATGACAGCGCGGTGCGGGCCACATTGCAAGGCCTGGCGGGATGGATTTGGCCCGCGGGCCTTGTGTTTGACACATGTGCTCTAGTCCTAATTAAGCCATTAATAGGTGTAGGATTTCAGACAAGTCACTTTCTTTATGGTTAGACTACCAGATCACCAAAGTCCTGTGAAAACTGACATGGTTTGTTTGGCAAAACAATGAGGTGGTAATTAGCCCAAATAACACTGGAGGCCAGCCTAATGTGTATAGTCTTTTGTTAAGAGTGAGTTTACTGCCAAGGCCGGTTTGGCTCAGTGGATAGAGCATAGGCCTACTGACTGAAGGGTCCAGGGTTCGATTCCAGTCAAGGGCATGTACCTTGGTTGCGGGCACATCCCCAGTAGGGGGTGTGCAAGAGGCAGCTGATCGATGACTCTCATTGATGTTTCTAACTCTCTATCTCTCTCCTTTCCTTTCTGTAAAAAAACAAAAACAAAAACCAATAAAATATATTTTAAAAAAAGAAAAAAAGAGTGAGTTTACTGTAAAATAACTGTTAGGTGCCTGTAATACCAGGTCCCATGCGGAAAAAGAAGCCCACCACTTGGGATGGAGGGAGGGAAAGACCAATGGCAGGAGAGAAGGGCAGACCCTGATTGCAGTTGGGAAGGGGAGCAGGGGAGCCTGGCACCTCACCCTCCAGCAGTGCAATGCCTTTACGGATGTCATCGTTGTACTTGCTTCGCACCAAGCACCAGGCATACTCAAACTGTGTGCTCTTGGACACCGAGCCTGCTGCCTTCTCAGACTGAAATTTCTTTTCAAACTTCTGCCATAGGAGAGGAGAGGAGTCATTTAGAAATGAAGAGTGCAAACCACTTTTCTATCAGGACCCTGTGTCCATTTCCCAGTTACACTCCATCTTTCCCAGCCTCTGCCATATTTCCCTTACGGGTCTTCACACCTGGCTCCACAAGTTCTATCTCCGTCTCTGGGACCCCAGGCTTTCAGTTTCTTGTGGGCGGCATTTCTCTGGACAGTGTCCCACCCTGCCATTCCCCCCTCCCCCCATCTCTGTTCCCTCCCTCTACTGGTACTGAGTGGAGATGCCACCTGGTGGCGGTTCCAGGCACCGCTCCCGGAGCAACTGACCCGGAGTGGCTAAACAGTAAACATGCTGTTCAACAACAGTCAGAACTGCTCAACTGCACACACAGTCCCTGGTCAAAGACTGCTTCCCCCATCCCGTCCCACTTTGCCGAGTCCGGACTTTTTCTTATCTGCAAAACGGGAACAAGATGCTGCCTACTTCTCATAACTCAAAGACTGAGATATCGCCTGCGATGTACTTAGCACCGTGCCAGATACAATGAGTAATATATGAAACAATGAGTAATACATGGGGGTCGCCACTGAGGGAGTACTTTAAAACAAGTTAGGACTCTGACCTCCTGTTGCACGCACCCAGAACCCATCAGTCTTTCCAAGCCAGTCTCCAGGCCTTGAGTCTGAGGGGTGGTGGCTTAGGAAACTACAACTCCCATTAGTCTCTGGGGCTAAATGGAACATCTCGGCAGGAGACAGGCGCTGCAAAGGCTGCCGGGAGTAGTAGTTCAGCGTGACTAGGGAAAGCTGATGATGAGAAAAAGATTTGGCCCCCATCCGATTCTTCTCAGGACCCGCCCGCCCGAACCTTTCCTCTCCCTCCCTCTGGGCCAGGCCTCACCAGCAGGTCGTCCACAGACACCAGCTCGTTTAGCACGGCCTCCATGGCCGCCGGCCCCGCAATCCTCACACCTCAGACGTTACTGTGCCACCAACTCCATGGCCCACTGGCAGGAGGGGAGAACCACTTCCGGCGTTCGGCGGAAAAGGGCCCTCCCCTACGCAGAGCCAATCACTTCATTTAGCGACGCCAAGCCCGCCCCACGCCGACTGAGTAGAGCCCCGCCCCTTCCTCCCCGCACAGTGGGCGTGCCGATGGCGTAATTCTTTTCCCCAGAGGGGTCCCAGTCAATCCCACACCCAGCGGGCTGCTTACAATGCCACTCATGGCCTTCCTGGATGCCCTGCCTGTGCCTTCCTCCAAACAGCACAAAGAGGAAGGTGAAGAACCGGGCATGGCTATGATTTTAGGGACCAGTACCCTACCCATCTCACCCTGCACTCTAAGATGAGCTATAGGACCCTCCCAGAAACCTGGGACCCTGGAAGCTATGCGACTTTTCAGTGCCTGGAAAAAAAACAGAATTACCAACCCTAGCTGGTTCAGTGGATAGCGTATCGGCATGATGACTGAACGGTCTCGGGTTCGATTCCAGTCAAGGGCACAAGCTTGGGTTGTGGGCTCAATCCCAGTAGGGGGCGTGCAGGAGGCAGCCAATCAATTGTTCTCTCTCATCGTGATGTTTCTAACTCTCCCTCTCCTTTCCTCTCTGAAACATATATAGTTTATATAGTTTGCCAAGACTTCATATATATATAAAAAGAATTACCAGGATCTCTACTACTCTTACAATACAAGAGGGTATAAACTGGATCTGTTATCCATACACCCAGAGACTATAAGAAAAGTTGTTGCCATTACTTGCAGAAAGGTCCAATCTTTTAAATATTACTTACATAATATTCTCCCTAGGGGAAAGGACTGCTGTGTGGGGTGAAGGGTAACGAGGAGCTTGGCAGTAAGGAGCAAAAAAGCAAATAAAGATGAAATGCTGCTGGCTCCTCCAGCATCTGTTCTATGCAGTGACGGGACTGGTAGGTAATGACTTTCAATATTCATTTTACCTTTTTAAAGAGAAAACCACGGGTCCAAAATAGTATCACTCGGTGTAAAAGCCATATCAAACCTAGATTTAATACCCAATTAAATTGCAATTTCAACCTCTCCCAGAAATGTAATCTTAATCAAGTCTGGAATTTTCTGGTCAAGCACAAATAAGGTAAATCTACCATGTCCCCTCTCCCTAAAATAAGTCCTTGTCTAAAAAACATCATTTTCTTCTCTTGTTAGTAGCTCCATTTCATACAACCCCTTAGAAGCATCCTTGTTGCTACATGGAATGCTGCCTTGGTGAATCATTTAATAAAGCCAATTAGATCTTCAAATTTACTCAGTTGGGCCAGGCTGGTGTGGCTCAGTGGTTGATCATTGGCCTATGACCCAGGAGGTCAGTTTGATGCCAGGTCAGAGCACATGCCTGGGTTGTGGTCTCAATCCCCAGTAGGGGCGGACCAGAGGCAGCCGATTGATGCTTCTATCTCTCTACCCGTCTTCCTACCCTCTAAAATCAATGAAAACATATTTTTAAAAATTCACTTGATTGAATTTTTTAAACGATCTTGACCCACAGTGCTCATTAGAATGTAAGTTCTATGAAGGAAGGAACTAAATCTAGCAATTAGACAGGCATGAGTAGAATAGAAATAATAGGCCAGGTACAGAAAGTTGATGGATTGAGTAGGCAAAACTGGGGTGGGACCGTGTCCCCCAGAGTGACCTTCCCTCCCCTAGCATGTCTGGTCAGACTCCCCGGATCTTTCCTCCACTGGCATGTCACTAGTCATGTGGAAGACCCTCTCCTTCCCCAAGAGGAATAACAAGGGGGTGGAAGAATAGCATCATATGACTAAACCCTGAGATAACATGGGGCGACCAGGTCGGTGGGGTGGGGGGTGGAGGGGCAGTTGGCATTGACCAGGTCAGTGGGGGTAGTTGGGGGTGATTAGGCAAGCAGGCAGACGAGCAGTTAGGAACCAGTGGTCCCAGATTGTGAGAGGAATTTCCTAAGGATTGGGCCTAAATTGGCATTTGGACATCCCCTGAGGGGTCCCAGATTAGAGAGGGTGCAGGCTGGGCTGGGCTGAGGGGACCCTCCTCCCCCTCCACCCATGCACGAATTTCTAGTCTCCATAATAAAAGACAGATTAGTAGTAAAAAAACAAACAAAAGTATAATAACATGTATACCTCCAGCATACTTGGGAGAGACCCAAAACAGTTGAGTAATTCACCAAAATGGTGAAGCCACTACCTTAAATACCATCTTCAGCTGAAGAGGTTGAGGGTGGGAGAAGTGAGTTATAGGAGGTTATCAGGAAAAACACAGTATTAAAAAAAAAGAAAAAAAAGAGTAAGGTTGTTATGCAGATTTAAGTCTTTGCCTTTAGCATGGTAAGAGTTTCCATAGGTAACTCCTGGTATAGCAAGACAGACACCCTTACAAGTATAGATTTCCCTTACAATGTAGTAAATGTATTTTTCACAAAGGGTAACTTCTACTTGATTTTCAGAATTTCTCCCATGTCAGCTGTTTAAAATTAACTGGCCTAAAATAATCCTCATGCCAAATAGACATTATTCTGGGGACACAAATTCTATTCCCCTATAGTACATGCTACAAATCTGTATGGCATGTTACTGTACTGAATACTATAGGCAACTGTAACACAATGGTATTTGTGTAATGTGTTATACTATGACATTATGACATCACTAGGCGATAGAAAATTTTCAGCTTCATTATAATCTAATGGGACCGCCTTCATATATGCATTGCAGCACTATTGTAGAAGGCAGAGCAAATGCAGAGATTATCAGACAAAGCACCTTTCATGTTTGCAAATCCCCTTAAATTTATTTTATTTTATTGTCATAATAGACTTGTGAGTTATATATTTGTGCTATTCTTTATCTGGCTTGGGCTGATATGAGCTCAGTAAATTTTGACAAAAACTTCAGTTTGGAGAACTGGCTCTTTTATGACTGCTAGCATAAAATTTTTCAAGACGACTTCGTGTTCATTCAAAGTTGCATCGAGCACCTAGCATGGCTGGGCCTTGAGGTAAGCAGAGGGGATAAAAAAATGTACATAATATGAAGCAGTCTAGGACCGAAGACAAAGTCTGGCAATGCAGGGAATATAGTAAGACCGAAGGGTATTCTTTTTATTAGGATGTTACTTCTGTGGAGCGGCCTACTGCACCTTAATCATCTTTGTATCTGCTGCAGCTCCTGGCACAGGCCTAGTGCATGGCAAAAACTCCATCAGAGTTTTTTGAATATATGTGAGGAAAAAAGAATGACTTAGTTGGCTCAATTCTGTGCCAATGAAGAGGTCTTAAGTTTGAGCTTGAGTCTTTTGGGGTCTAGTTAGTATAGCTTGCCACCTTGGATTATAGGGATAGGATATAGTGACTGTTAATTTTACATCCAAATTATGTTTGTCTATCTTCTTGAATCAGAATCCAAATGCAAACCACTGTCATTTCTGCCTA